ACTTGGCAGGACGGTAGTACCTCCCTGGGCGGTTGCTGTCTACCAACCTACTACCTAGGGAAAACCTAGATGTATGTATATATATATGCATGTGCGTGTCTGTGAAGTGTGACCAAAGTGTAAGTAGGAGTAGCAAGATATCCCTGTTATCTAGCGTGTTTATGAGACAGAAAAAGAAACCAGCAATCTTACCATCATGCAAAACAGTTACAGGTTTCTGTTTCACAGTCATCTGGCAGGACGGTAGTACTTCCCTGGGTGGTTGCTGTCTACCAACCTACTACTAAATTATTATCACTTCTAATATGGTGTCATTTGTGCAAGGCATCTGGCTACCACATCTCATATTTATGTTTATTTATTCTACTGTGGGATGTGTTTATCATCTTTATATGTTATGCATCGTGTTTATTATATAATTTTGAAAAAATATCATACACAGATTAATGAAAATGTGTATATTAACGTAATATACGACATTTAAATGAGACTTGGTGATTATTATTATCATTACTAATATGACGTCTGGAGACATAAGAGACTCTTACTGATTTTAATGTGTACCTGCACGCCAGCACAGTATGTAAGTTTATTTAGGTACAGGTGTGAGCAGGGCTATATTTAGTGAAGGGATTCAGGGAAACCGGTTATTTTCATATAGTCGGACTTGAGTCCTGGAAATGGGAAGTACAATGCCTGCACTTTAAAGGAGGGGTTTGGGATATTGGCAGTTTGGAGGGATATGTTGTGTATCTTTATACGTATATGCTTCTAAACTGTTGTATTCTGAGCATCTCTGCAAAAACAGTGATAATGTGCGAGTGTGGTGAAAGTGTTGAATGATGATGAAAGTATTTTCTTTTGGGGGATTTTCTTTCTTTTTTTTGGGTCACCCTGCCTCGGTGGGAGATGGCCGACTTGTTGAAAAAAAAAATATATATATAAAATATGATTTTTTTTTTTTTTTTTTTTTCAACAAGTCGGTCGTCTCCCACCGAGGCAGGGTGACCCAAAAAAGAAAGAAAATCCCCAAAAAGAAAATACTTTCATCATCATTCAACACTTTCACCTCACTCACACATTATCACTGCTTTTGCAGAGGTGCTCAGAATACAACAGTTTAGAAGCATATACGTATAAAGATACACAACATATCCCTCCAAACTGCCAATATCCCAAACCCCTCCTTTAAAGTGCAGGCATTGTACAGTGGACCCCCGGTTAACGATTTTAATCCGTGCAAGAGGGTTAATCGTTATGCGAAATAATCGTTATGCGAATGAATTTTCCCCATAAGAAATAATGGAAATAAAATTAATCCGTGCAAGACGCCCAAAAGTATGAAAATTTTTTTTTTTTTACCACATGAAATGTTAATTTTAATACACACAAACTGAAAAAGGCATGCACAATTAAATGACACTTACTTTTATTGAAGATCTGGTGATGATTGATGGGATGGGAGGAGGGGAGAGCATTATCTTCTTACTGTTTAGAAGGGGAATCCCCTTCCATTACGACTTGAGGTAGCAAGTCCTTTTCCGGGGTTACTTCCCTTCTTCTTTTAATGCCACTAGGACCAGCTTCAGAGTCACTGGACCTCTGTCGCACAACAAATCTGTCCATAGAGCTCTGTACCTCCCGTTCCTTTACGATTTGTCTAAAATGGGCCACAACATTGTCATTGAAATAGTCAACAGCACGGCTTGCAACAGCTGTGTCAGGTGATTTTCATCTATAAAGGTTTGCAGTTCAACCCACTGTGCACACATTTCCTTAATCTTTGAAGTAGGCACAATGGATTCCACAACTGGCATAGGCTTCTCAGGGTTAGCCCCAAACCCTTCAAAATCTTTCTTAATTTTTCCATACTAATTCTCACCCTTTTTACCACAGGGTTGGCACTAGAAGCTTTCTTGGGGCCCATGGTCACTTATTTTCCAGAAACAGCACCGAAAATACTGTAATAATACGAAATATTCCGAGTGTATGCTTGGATGTTACCGCGGAGGCTGGCTGGTAAACAATGGGACGGAGCGGCACATGTGAGGCTGGCTGAGGGCACATTGGACGCGTCTCGGACGAAAATCGGTATGCGGGTTTTTAATCGGTATGCGCGGCAAAAATTTTGCGATAAAAGTAATCGTTATGCGGAAAAATCGCTATGCGATGCCATCGTTATGCGGGGGTCCACTGTACTTCCCATTTCCAGGACTCAAGTCCGACTATATGAAAATAACCGGTTTCCCTGAATCCCTTCACTAAATATTACCCTGCTCACACTCCAACAGATCGTCAGGTCCCAAGTATCATTCGTCTCCATTCACTCCTATCTAACACGCTCATGCACGCTTGCTGGAAGTCCAAGCCCCTCGCCCACAAAACCTCCTTTACCCCCTCTTTCCAACCCTTTCGATTACGACCCCTACCCCTCTTTCCTTCCCCTATAGATTTATATGCTTTCCATGTCATTCTACTTTGATCCATTCTCTCTAAATGACCAAACCACCTCAACAACCCCTCTTCTGCCCTCTGACTAATGCTTTTATTAACTCCACACCTTCTCCTAATTTCCACACTCCGAATTTTCTGCATAATATTTACACCACACATTGCACTTAGACAGGACATCTCCACTGCCTCCAACCGTCTCCTCGCTGCTGCATTTACCACCCAAGCTTCACATCCATATAAGAGTGTTGGTACTACTATACTTTCATACATTCCCTTCTTTGCCTCCATAGATAACGTTTTTGACTCCACATATACCTCAACGCACCACTCACCTTTTTTCCCTCATCAATTCTATGATTAACCTCATCCTTCATAAATCCGTCCGCTGACACGTCAACTCCCAAGTATCTGAAAACATTCACTTCTTCCATACTCCTCCTCCCCAATTTGATATCCAATTTTTCTTTATCTAAATCATTTGTTATCCTCATCACCTTACTCTTTTCTATGTTCACTTTCAACTTTCTACCTTTACACACATTCTCAAACTCATCCACTAACCTTTGCAATTTTTCTTTAGAATCTCCCATAAGCACAGTATCATCAGCAAAAAGTAACTGTGTCAGTTCCTGTTTTGAATTTGATTCCCCATAATTTAATCCCACCCCTCTCCTGAACACCCTAGCATTTACTTCTTTTACAACCCCATCTATAAATATATTAAACAACCATGGTGACATTACACATCCCTGTCTAAGACCTACTTTTACCGGGAAGTAGTCTCCCTCTCTTCTACACACCCTAACCTGAGCCTCACTATCCTCATAAAAGCTCTTTACAGCATTTAGTAACTTACCACCTATTCCATATACTTGCAACATCTGCCACATTGCTCCTCTATCCACTCTATCATATGCCTTTTCTAAATCCATAAATGCAATAAAAACTTCCCTACCTTATCTAAATACTGTTCACATATATGCTTCAATGTAAACACTTGATCTACACATCCCCTACCCACTCTGAAGCCTCCTTGCTCATCCGCAATTCTACATTCTGTCTTACCTCTAATTCTTTCAATTATAACTCTAACCGTATGCTTTTCCTGGTATACTCAGTAAACTTATTCCTCTATATATTTTTACAATCTCTTTTGTCCCCTTTCCCTTTATATAAAGGGACTATACATGCTCTCCGCCAATCCCTAGGTACCTTCCCCTCTTTCATACATTTATTAAACAAAAGTACCAACCACTCCAACACTATATCCCCCCCTGCTTTTTAACATTTCTGTAATGATCCCATCAGTTCCAGCTGCTTTACCCCTTTTCATTCTACGTAATGCCTCACGTACCTCCCCCACACTTACATTCTGCTCTTCTTCACATCCTAAAAGATGGTATACCTCCCTGACCAGTGCATGAAATTACTGCCTCTGTTTCTTCCTTAACATTTAAAAGTTCCTCAAAATATTCTCGCCATCTACCTAATACATCCCTCTCCCCATCTACTAACTCCCCTACTCTGTTTTTAATGGACAAATCCATACTTTCCCTAGGCTTTCTTAACTTGTTTAACTCACTCCAAAATTTTTTCTTATTTTCATTAAAATTTCTTGACAGTGCCTCTTCCACTCTTTCATCTGCTCTCGTTTTGCTCTCTCTCACCACTCTCTTCACCTTTCTTTTACTCTCCATATACTCTGCTCTTCTTATAACACTTCTGCTTTGTAAAAACCTCTCGTAAGCTACCTTTTTCTCTTTTATTACACCCTTTACTTCATCATTCCACCAATCACTCCTCTTTCCTCCTGCCCCCACCCTCCTATAACCACAAACTTCTGCCCCACATTCTAATACTGCATTTTTAAAACTATTCCAACCCTCTTCAACCCCCCCACTACTCATCTTTGCACTAGCCCACCTTTCTGCCAATAGTCGCTTATATCTCGCCCGAACTTTTAAAAACACTTGAAATTTTGGAGTTTCCAGACGAAATGGAGAGACTTAGTGCTTACGGATCTCACAGAGAATGTAAACAAACCGGGTGGGGCACAGTGACCATATTAGAAAGTCAGGAGGGGGGAGCCATATAGCGAGCTTTGGTCATAATTTGAAATGACCGTATTAGTGGAACGCCGTAAAGCGAAACGCCGTAAAATGGGGCCCTACTGTACATGTAAAGGTCTCACCCACTTTATGCAGTAGATGTGCTCCTGGCACATAAGGTGAATTTGCAAAAAGTGAATCCATCATAACATGCAAAATGCACAGCAGACACTTGCTGCCATTGTGTGAGAGCAAAAAACACACAGTAACCATCCTCTCTGTTAGATCTAATTTTTAGCATACATATATGGTGAGTAAAATATAGTTTATTCATAGTAAGTAATACCATATTGCTTGTGTTTCCAGCTTAAGCTGAATTGCTTTTGATTTATGTACCAATGTCAATATAAATTTTTTCATTATATGGCTTATGTTTTTTTTTATTGGTTAAATTTCCTGAAGTCATGATAATCTATTTACTATTGTTTTCCCTTGCAGAATAATAACACAGACGCGGCTTCACTGGTGGCCTCAGATTGATATAGTGTACAATAAATCTAGTGAGCTAAGATCTATGTTTACCGAAACCCTTAATAAAGTGACTCAGGGATGTATCTCTCTCACCCCATTGAGAATTCAGGTGTGTGAGATTTATCAATTTCTTTCATATCAAATTTTAATTCTTATAGGATTTGCTGTAATTGTATAGTTTTAATTCATACCTTAAGAACTTTACTTCATCTTCTGAATCATTGTTTATAAGTATAGTGGAACTCTGGATTTCGTGCTTAATCCGTTCCAGAAGGTCGGTCTAAATCTGAAATATACGAAAACCGAAGTAATATTTCACATAAATAATATAAATACAATTAATCTGTTCCAGACACCCAAAAATATCAACAATAAATAAATTTTTTAAAGAATACCTATAATTTTACATACAGAAAACAATGAGAAATATAAAACATTAATGAAATGGATAAATGAACGTTAAATCACTATTACATACCTTTATTGAAGACTCTTGTTGGCATATGGAAGAAGGCGAGGAGGGGAGAGAGAGGAGAGCTTATTGTTTGGAAGGGGAATCCCCCTCCATAAGGACTTCAGGTCCTATCCGGGGTTGCTTCCCTTCTTTGTCTTTTACTGGCACTGGACCCCTAGCACACTAAAAATCTGTCTAGAGAGCTCTGTTTCTGGCATCTCTTTAAGATTTGCCTAAAATGGGACGAGGTATTGTCAATGAACATGTTGCAGATACGACTTATATCAGCTTTGTCAAGGCGACATTTTTCCACAAAAGTTTGCAACTCATTCTACTTTGCACACCTGTCCTTAATCACTGAAGAAGGCACCTTCTTCCATCTCTCTTCTTCCTCCTCTGAAGTAGTTTCCTCAGCTGCAGTCTGTTGCTGTTCCATTTGAAGGTCTTGCAGCTCTTCAGTGGTTAGCTCTTCCCTGTGGTCCTCCACCAATTCTTCCACATCCTGGCCACTCACCTCCAACCCCATGGGCATCCCCAAAGACACAGTAGATTCCATAACAGGTGTAGGGTCGTCAGGGTCAGCCTTAAACCCTTCAAAATCCTTGTTGAGGACACATTCTGGCCACAATTTTCTCCAAGCAGTTCAAAGTCGTCAACAGAACTCACGAAATCGTAATGACATGACTGCAAACAAACCATACCACGGATGGGGATAGAACTTGCGGTCTGGAGTTTTGAGACTCTGATCGCGGGTTCTATCCCCGTCCGTGGTATGGTTAGTTCAATGTCCTGGAAGTCACTCCCTGCCAAGCCTTACCTATAAGGCTTATGAAATGGAGGATATTGAAGTGATTTCTCCAGAACTCTCTTAGGGTCATTTCAGTGTCCGAGGTCACTTCAAAGCACCTTTGAAACATTGCTTTCGTGTAGAGTTTTTTGAAGTTAGAAATGGCCTGCTGGTCCATGGGCTGGATGAGAGGAGAGGTGTTAAGAGGCAAGAACTTCACTGTTATAAAACTGAAGTCCCTAAACAATTGATCTTCCAAATCTGGAGGATGAGCAGGAGCGTTGTCCAGTACCAGGAGGCACTTGAGTGGCAAGTTATTTTCCAGGAGGTGTGTAAAGGTAGAAAGTTGAAAGTGAACATAGATGAGAGTAAGGTGATCAGGGTATAAAATGATTTAGATAAAGAAAAATTGGATATCACATTGGAGAGAGGGAATATGGAAGAAGTGAATAGTTTCAGATATTTGGGAGTTGATGTGTCAGTGGATGGGTTTATGAGGGATGATGTTAACCATAGAATTGATGAAGGAAAAAAGATGAGTGGTGCATTGAGGTATATGTGGAGAGAAAAAATGTTATCTATGGAGGAAAAGAAAGGAATGTATGAAAGTATAGTGATACCAACTCTGTTATATGGGTGTGAAGCTTGGGTTGTAAATGCTGCAGCGAGGAGGCGGTTGGAGGCAGTGGAGATGTCCTATCTAAGGGCAATGTGTGGTGTAAATATTATGCAGAAAATTCGGAGTGTGGAAATTAGGATTAGGTGTGGAGTTAATAATAGTATTAGTCAGAGGGCTGAAGAGGGGTTGTTGAGGTGGTTTGGTCATTTAGAGAAAATGGATCAAAATAGAATGACACGGAGAGCATATAAATCTGTAGAGGAAGGAAGGCAGTGTAGGGGTCATCCTCGAAAAGGTTGGAGGGAGGGGGTAAAGGAGGTTTTGTGGGCGAGGGGCTTCGACTTGCAGCAAGCGTCCGTGAACGTGTTAGATAGGAGTGAATGCAAACAAATGGTTTCTGGGACCTGATGAGCTGTTGGAGTGTGAGCAAGGTAATAGTTAGTGAAGGGATTCAGGGAAACCAGTTATTTTTATATAAATGGACTTGAGTTCTGGAAATGGGAAGTACAATGACTGCACTTTAAAGGAGGGGTTTGGGATATTGGCAGTTTGGAGGGATATGTTATATAACTCTGGTCACCATATTACAGAATGAATATAAATGCACTGGAAAACGTACAGAGGAGGATGACAAAGTTGATCCCATGTATCAGAAATCTTCCCTATGTGGATAGACTGAGGGCCCTGAATCTGCACTCTCTCAAAAGGCATAGGATTAGAGGGGATATGATTGAGGTGTATAAATGGAAAACAGGAATAAATAAAGGGGATGTAAATAGCGTGCTGAAAATTTCTAGCCGAGACAGGACTTGCAGTAATTATTTCAAGTTTGAAAAATTCAGATTCAGGAAGGATAGAAAAGCACTGATTTGGTAATAGAGTTGTGGATGAGTGGAACAAACTCCTGAGTACAGTTATAGAGGCTAAAACATTGTGTAGTTTTAAAAATAGGTTAGATGAATACATGAGTAGGTGTGGGTGGGTGTGAGTTGGACCTGACTAGCTTGTGCTACTAGGTCTGATGCCATGTTCCTTCCTTAAGTGGAAGTGACCTAACTAGGTGGGTCATCGGGCTAATCCGGGAGGGGGGGAAGGAATGGACCTGCTTTGCATGGGTCGGTAGGCCTGCTGCAGGGCTCCTTCTTTCTTATGTTTTTTTTTTTTAACAAGTCGACCGTCTTCCACCGAGACAGGGTGATCCAAAAAGAAAGAAAATCCCCAAAAAGAAAATACTTTCATCATCATTCAACACTTTCATCTCACTCACACATAATCACTGTTTTTGCAGAGGTGCTCAGAATACAACAGTTTGGAAGTACTGTATATACATGTACGTATAAAGATACACAACATATCCCTCTTTATATATGCTTCTTAACTGTGGTACCTAGGCACCTCTGCAAAAACAGTGATTATGTATGAGTGAGGTGAAAGTGTTGAATGATGATGAAAGTATTTTTTTTTTTTTCTATTTTGGTCACCCTGCCTTGGTGGGAGACGGCCGGCTCGTTGAAAAAAAAAAAATTCACACTCGGGTCAAACACTTCATGGACCCAGTCAGTGATAATTTGCTTCGTGACCCATGACTTATTATTAGCTTTCCACATAACACACAATTTACTCTTGATGACATTGTTTTTTTTTGAACACTTGGGGATTTTCAGAGTGATACACCAGTAAAGGCTTCACTTTGAAATCCCCACTAGCGTTACCAGAGAACGAAAGAGTTAGCCTACCCTTCATAGGCTTGTGTCCTGGCAGTGCCTTTTCCTCCTGTATGATGTAGGTCCTCTTGGGCATTTTCTTCCAAAAAAGGCCTGTTTCTTCACAATTGAGCATTTGTTGGGGGATGAATCCTTCAGCCTGTACGTACTCCTTGAATTCATCAGCGAATTCTTCGACCGCACATTTGTCTGAACTTGCAGCATCACCATGCCTTACAACACTGTATGCTGCTACGCTTCTTGAATCTCTTGAGCCAGCCTCTGCTGGCCTTAAATTCACTAACAGTAGCACTTGTTCCAGGCGTTTCCTTTACGAGATCCACATGCAACTCCCTTACCTTTTCACAAATGATCAACTCCGCAACACTATCTCCCGCTAACTGTTTTTTGTTAATCCATACCAACAACAACAACAACAACAACAACTCCACATCTTCAATTGTTTATGATCTCTGTTTCGTTAGCATATTTACCCATTTCGCAACTTCAGCTTCCCTGATTTCTACTTTCTTTGCCAGGATGGAACAGATTGTTGATTTCATCTTCCCATACATCCTGGCAAGCTCGGCTGAACGTATGCCACTTACATATTATTCTACAATCTCTTTCTTGAATTCTTTCATGTTTCTCACCTACTTTACCGAAGGGCTGGCACTAGGAATTTTCTTTGGGCTCATGGTGGCTTATTTCACAGTCACACTCAATAGTTAAGCACAAAAAAACAATGGATCAATATGAAATGTTTCAGATGAATGGGCAAAGTAATGCTCACTTAACCAGTGACAGAGCCAGACCAAGACATGTATGTATGAGTGGCAGCTTCCCGGGCGGGTGGACACGTCTAATACATACGATTTCTGGGTTGAGGTACGAAATCCTGACCAAAATTTCGCCCAAAGAAGTGGTCTAAATCCAAAACGTACAATATTTGGTGCATACGAAATCTGGAGTTCCACCGTATATACAATACATCATTATGACCAGCACACTAATACACTGCTGTATGCATGCACTGCTAATGATTTCGTTTCTTTGCACATGCAAATATATTGTTAAGGGATTAGTTAAGTTTCCAGCTTTCATTTTTTATGTGCTACGTATGGAGTGTCCTTTTGGCATTTTTCACTTTTCAAATTATCCTTTTCATTTTTGTAATGTATCCTAGTTCCTGTTTATTATAATTTAAAGCCATGTGTAAAGGCAGGAAGTTAAAAGTGAACATAGATAAGAGCAAGGGGATAAGGGTAAGAAATGAGTTAGGTAATGAAAAATTGAATGTTAGATGGGAGAGTGGAAGTATTGAGGAAATGAACGTATTCAGATTTTTGGGAGTGAACTTGTCGGCGGATGGGTAAGTGAAAGACAAGGCGAATTATAGAATTGATGAAGAAAAAAAGGTGGGTAGTGCATTGAGGTATATGTGGAAACAAAGTAGGATGTATGAGAGCACTGTTTAGTGGTACCAACACTCGTAAACAGGCATGAAGCATGGGTGGTGAATGTTGTAGCAAGGATGAGGTTGTAG